AAAAAAAAAAATCTGACAGAGTCAAATCTGATGAACAGCCTGGGCCCCTTCGCCCAAGAGAATGATTTTGAAACAGTCGGTAAAGAAAAGCTGTAGTACATTCTGCAAAGAAATTAAGAGAATTTTCATATTTGATCTACGATCTCCAGAACTACTGGACAGATTTTTATAAAAAATTTGGTGTGAAAATAGGTTGATATAATACAAACAAAATAAACATTCAACAGTTATAATAGACACACATGTTCGTGTGTAACACTCATGGGAGTCTGAAGGTCTGAAACAATGGTTGCAGAAGATACAAAAGAAATGGATTAATAGGGGGTATGGTCCTTCTTGCAGCCATACAGGCCTTGCAGCATGATGCCATATTGGAAATAAGGAAGTTTATCAGTGCCTGTGGCAATTGGTCCCACTAATTCTGCAACGCTGTTTTCAGTTCCTAGATGGTTTTCGGAGAGGGGATGCGAGTTGCAATTGCCCTCCCCAGATCATCCCAGACATGCTCTATGGGGTTCAGGTCTGGAGACCTAGCTGGCCAATCCATCCAGCGAATATCCTCATTATCTGGAAATTCGTCGACCAGAAGAGCTCTATGTGGCCACTTGTTATCTTCCTGTAAGATGAACTCGGAGCCCACTGCACCCCGGAAAAGTCAAACATAGGGCTCCAAGACCTCATCCCCATACCCCACATGAGTCACAGAGCCTCTGTCAAAGGTGTGCAGCCATCCAACATAATGCCTGCCCAGACCATTACACCGCCACCACCATAATTGTTGATTTCGTGGACATTGGATGGTAAGTAACGGGTCCGTGGTTCTCTCCATATGAAAAGTACGGCGAGAATTAGGTGTTTAGGCTAAAACAGGACTTATCGGTGAACAGAACGGTCGCCCATCGCTCCGTATTCCAATCACTATGCTGCTTGCACCATGCTAATTGGACTCTCCTGTCTGTAGACGTGAGCGAGACGCAAACAGCCGGTCTTCTGGAAAACAACCCTCTCTCATTCAGTCTTTTGGAAACAGTCACCCTTGTTACATGGCTTCCTGTGGCTGCATACAGGTTCCAAGAGAGCTGAGTAGCTGTAGTCCATCTGTTACGCCTTGCTAAAATGGACAAATAGCAATCTTCTCTGGCCCTAGTGGCTCTTGGACGACCTTGCCAAGGCTTTCTCTCGAAGGATCCAATATCCAGTAGAACTGTTTCCATAGGTTACACACGACGCTGGGCAGCAAATTAAACTCTCTGCATATCTGGATTTGCGATTGGCCTGCCTCCAGCCTCCCCACAATTCTCCACCTCATTCCATCACCTAAACGTTGGCAGTTACTCATTTTTACTGTTCTGATGTGAATCTAACCGATTGCTGCAAGATAACACCAAGAAATTCGCCGAGGTGTGCTAGCAATTGCAATTCATCTTACCCTCCACGGGCTTATAAAGCCTATTTTTCTGCTGGCTCTGCCCACACACACGTTTTTGCTTACGTATTTGCTGTACAAGATTTGCATTTTTATCTAGAAGCAGTGGCTTTTTTCTTTAGTTCTTTTCATGCAATTTGATAAAATATACAAATTCTCTTAATTTATTTCACCAGTGTAAATCTTGCACTATGTGCTGGGTAATCATCATGCTGATACCATAAGCTCCTCTAGGTTTGCAGCAGGAGATCTAATATCTGTGCAAGTTTTTCACGGGGTCTATATATTTACTATAATTCAGCATTTTTTCTATGAACAAAGGGCTTAGAATATGATGATTAATTAAAATCATACATTTACACTCCATGGATGCTAATGCTTCACTTCATTAAGCAAATGAGGATTATACACTGACCGACAATGCATGTTTCTGCAGTTGTTGTGGCCATGGTTTGTAAAATTTGCTTTCAAGCTAAACAAGATGAATGACAAATCTTTAAAGTTTAATGGTCATGTACAAAAGTTAGCACGATTTTTAAAATAGTCATCAAGATGAGTTTTAAAATAGTCTTGATGGAGAGTGATACAAAATGGACAGAACTTGTGATGAAGGACAATACATAGCACATTTGGCTGAGTGTTGACACTCCCTCTTGTTATGTCCTCAGAATTAACTTGCGCATCTACAGCAACAGTAGTTAGAACATTAATTTTACACTCTTCTCCAGTTACTCATTTGCTTCTGTTATACTTTTGAGGTGTTATCGTAATTGCTTTCTCATTGGTTAAAAAAGTTCACAAATAATTATTGAGATGATTTATATCTACTGGGATATCTTTTAGTACATACGTTACAAGAATGGGCATTCTTCCTACATTCCATCAGGATGTTGGTCTTTTCAGTATTAGTAATATATCTTCCACCACATCTTGTTCCTAAGAAGTACTAACATGAAAAATCTCAATACAAGCAGTGTAAAAGTTTGCATGTAGAGAAACGAGCAAACATCACAGCCATTAAGTGGAGCAGACATCTGATCGAAGTTTTTAAGTTGTAAATCTTCATTTATTATTTTATTTATTCCTGCTACAGATGTATTTAAAGATTTTGCAATTGATTTCTACATTCGAGGATTTTCTCTTGTTACTAATGATTTAACTCTTGAAACACTACCTTTCTCAGTCTTCCTTCCACACAGAAATAAAAATTGACGTTTTTTTTGGAATAAAAATATTTTTCTTCTGAAAGTACAAAAACATATCCTTCAATCCCCAGCTTGTTTATATGTGACACTTTGGAAGGAAAATAAATTTAAAAGTAGCAGATGACATTTCTCATTTCAAACAATAAGCTGCTGTCAAAAATTTTTATTCCAAAACATCTATTCTTTTTTTTTTTTTTTTTTTTTTTTAAATTCTTTATCAAAATTGTTCTTAAAACATATAAATACCCTCTGTATTTGTATATTACTTTAAATGTTGATGAAATAATCTATTTCTTTGTTAGATGGAAAATATTATTGAATTGGATTTTATGCATAAGTAACATTCAAACATTCTACAGTGTGAAATTTTGCACTTTTGCCTAAGCAATCTGTGAATTCAAAATAAATAAGATGATTTTTGATTGCGAGTCATCTATGAACTATCTTGACTGTGAAATATCTACAACTAAGAATTCATGTGACTAATTTTAAAATGAAATTATGATTAGTATAATATACTTTATTTCTAACTGTCAAGATGCATAGAGGCTCTCTCCAGGAGACACACTACAGTAAAATATTAATTTAGAGCTTACTTATACAATAATTTTGTATTTAACATGCATTATCTATCTCATTGTAATTATTTTTCATCTTCTTTTACGTATAGTCATGTAAATAATATACATTTATTTTTGACTTTAAACTGCTCAAAAGTTTTGTCTCATTGCTTACAATATTAGCACACACTAATTAATTTTTAAAAGAGAAAAATTCTAATGCGAACAGCACATGACTTCCTTGTATGGAATATTAAATTATACGCATTTTTTTGCTGCATTTCATTTAAACTTATTTCCTCAAATTTCATTAGAGACAGATTTCCTCATTCAATTAATGTTCTCACTTCACAGTGAGGCAAAAATACATAAAACCTCAAAGTATTTTCATTAAAAATACTTAATATAGAAAAGCACAAAACACCAAATACAGTTAAAACAATATACAAAAACAACTTTTACAATTAAAATTAGAGTTTCTATACAAAAACAAGCAATTCAGCCAGCAGGCAAGAAAGCAGATTTTTTTGGTGCATAAAATTAAAAATTTACTTTTGGTCCCACTTGGCAAAAAGACACAGAAGGTGCAGAAAGACTTAATTCACTATTCTGTTAAGTTTCAAATGTAAACAAATATGGCTGCTATGGTAAAAAAAAAAAAAAATTAGGCTTAGCCGCACTTAAATAACTTTTAAATTGTTAATAATTCTACAACTATTGCATGCAGATTAACTCAATACATGAAAACCTTAACTAGAGGATAAAAATATAACTCAGTCATTTTTAAAGCAAAAAATGCACAATTTACCAACATATAAGAATAAAAAGGTATGTACAGACGTCACGAAAAAGTCTGTTCTGAATCCATTTTAAAACAGTTTTATAAAATGTTTGGGGAAAAAGTAATTTATTCTGCCCTTACGTAGAGACGTCACAGAAAAATATCGTTAAATTGTATTCAATAGCTGTCAAAATGTATAATTTTTGTCGAAATATGATACCCGGAATTTTTCGCGATTACAATACTTCCTTTACTTCATACAAGGAAGTCAAAAACTGTGCCAAACTTTTTTCTTTGAAATGCATAATAATTAATTTTTGCTTATTTACAGCATTACAAATCTACAAAATTATCAGTACTTTCGGAGTCACTTATGTTCATATGGCTACATTAAAAACCATAAATTATTGTGAATCATTCTAACTGAAAGTGAAGATTTGCTATAGTACTTATCGAACTTGGATTTGGGCTTTACTATTGTTCCTCCTATTAAAATGCAATGTTTTAGCCACAAACAAAACTCCTGTTTCTCAACTGTGCATGCAACAATAAAAGTTATTAAACTAAAATAATTGTTAGTTTCAGATTAAATCCATAATTTGATTTTGAAGTATGCCAAATATGAAAACATTAATAATTTCAGTATGCCTGTCCCATTTTTTTTTTTTTAAATTTTGCATAGACTTATTGAATGACTCTTGTAAAATCCAGGGAGTTAACCTGCATATTATTTTTTAGTATCTTTTGACCAATTAAATTTTATAAGAAAATCATTGCATATATCAATTGTTCTTTTACTAGAAATTAAATCATCAATATAGAAACACATAAAATTATGCATAAAACATTTTTAAAAATTAATTTTAAAACTATAACTTAGGTTTCATTAATATGATATGCATACCAAAACAAAAAATATTCAGTTTTATAATGCTAATATAAAGTAAACATTTTAGGAAAATATTACAGCAGCATAAAAGGAAATTTAAGCACTGAGCAATAAATAGGGGTAAATAATATACACATACCTGATCATTTTTAAATTTCACTTCTTTCTGCAATTTCAAAATTATAGCATTTGATTTCTCTATATCAACTTTAATCCTTTCTTGAGATTTTTCACTCATTTCAAGTGTTGATTTTATCATCTCCAATTCAGTTTCAAGAGTTACCTGAAACAATCAATACAGCACAAATTTACGTAAAAAATTATAGGAAACTAATATCAAAATAACACTAAACTTAATAAGGCACAGTTAAAAACAGTGTAGAATAAAAGCCTTAAAAATTTGTAATGAATTTGATATGAAAACTTTGAATTTAGAAAATTGCTATATATATATGTATATACAGTACAAAGTCCGAAATCAGGACCGGTCGGGACTTCGGCGATTCCGGATTTTTCAGGATAATAGATCATCAATTTAAATCTGGTAAGATGGCATGCAGAAATTATACAATTAAAAATATGAAATCATAATTTATGAAATAAAGAACAATCATCATCTAAAGGGTATCAAAATTTACAAAAAGAAGCTTAATACCTTATTAAACATTTCTTTCAATGTAAGTTGTTTAAGATGCTTCCACAAAAAATTCAAAAATTTTCTTTTTCCTTGTGTCATATACAGTGGACTTTCCAATGCCATACTCCTCTCATAATTTTGAGACGGATATGCCTTTATCCATTTTTTGCAGCAATTCCACTTTTTATTAATGGACATCGAAACATGGTTTTGCTTTGTAGATCCTTTGGCAACTCTCCAGAATTGGAAACTCTTTTCGACATAATCGAAAGTTCAAGCTTAGTTTTTATAAAATTGCCATAATAATAACAGTCTGCAAAAAATAATAAGCTTGATCAAATTAGAAGATCAGGGGGCAGCACAGTCTTAAAATGCCTTAGAATCAGTAAAGATAATTTTAGTCTAACTTAATAGCATCCGTTGTACATTATTGGCTCTGTATCACAAGATTGGCGACGAAAGCCAAATTGTTTCACTAAATTATGTCTTGCTCCTATTACATACTGAATTAAGCCTGAATTGTATTAGTTATTTACTATACTACATTTATTTCTTGCACATGCTTCAAACTAAAGTGAAAGTCCTGAATAAATAAACTCCCACATATACTTAAGCTTTATCTAGAGCCGGCACTCAATACCGCCTGGTGCAGTCTCTACGCGTCCTAAATTCTGCTACAAAGATTCTGATTGTTTTCCCATAACGAAGTATTTTATTTAGTGCCTAAGCGAAATTAAGAATCAGAATTTTTAAATGAAAATCTCCACATGTTTTATTATGGAAGGAAAAATCAAATGTGCATGCGTAAATCAGTCATAATAATAAAAAAAAAAAAGTTTGTGGCTTTGAGGTCCTGATTTTAGATCATTACGGGTAATGGACATCCGAATTTCGGACTTTGTACTGTATATATATATATATATTATATTGTTGCGTGCGTACGGGTTCGTTATGAAATGAATGCACAAGTCCGATGAAAAATGAACAAAAATTTATTATTATCACAACAGAAATGCTTAAATTTTCTCAAATTATCATGCAGTATTACAATATCTCACAGTAGTTATCTTTTAACTACTCAAATATCCAATAGATCGTAATTCAAAACAGCTAAAGAACGCTAATCCGTGAATTCGCTACAATTGACAAGAGCAGTTTTCTAAACAACAACAAACTAAGCAACTACTACAGACTGAGATGTTTTCCTCCTTTTATAAGATTTTAAAATCACACGCTAGAATTTTCCAGTACTTTCTCGAAATCAAAAAGAGATATTTATTTATTTAATGCACGCGCTCTTGTATTTTCAATTTTCCGGCTTAGCTTTCTTTTAATATTCGTCACGCGCTGCACTGCACGAAAAATAAAACCATTTGATTTATAATTGAACTAACATTAGCTTTTTAAATACCAAATTTGTAACAATATGTATAAACCTTTTTGATACTTTCTGATTAATTGCAAGTTGCATTTTTTCATTCTCTACTGTTGAGTAAAATTACATATTACATATTCCTGAAGCAAAGCTTACAAAAATTCACAAACTCATTTCTGATTAATTTTTTAGATGCTAATATGCAAAAGACAACAGTAACTTTGAAAATGCACACTAGGAATTCTATAAAAGAGGAATAAATGAATAAAATTCAAAAACCATGAAATATCCATAATAAAACATTAACTTTTACAAAAAGTCTATATTATTTATTTATTGCTATTATTATTCTTGTGCTGCTGTTCTCACCATATACACAGTGATCTGTTTTTGCTTAAAAAACATTTAGGCAACTGCACCAATTTGGCCCTATTCCCGCTGATATTCTCTCATGTTCATAGCGATCTGTTTTAGCTGAAAATCAGAGAATTTCACATATTCAGCATTATGCACCTATTTTGATTATTTGAATACAACTTCATGGAATGTGATTTTTGCATTCTCTCTTGCTGGGGAAAATGCAATATTTTTGAAGAAATGCAACATTAGCCAGCAAACTCCACGGTCCCATTACAATTTCTTAGCATTACTATAGAATTACTTAGAATAAATAATTTAGATCTCAATAATACAATTTCTTTTTTTGGAACCCCACAAAAAGGTATACAATGCAAAGACAAGACCTAATAATAATAATAATAATAAAACTGAAAGCTTTCAGATTTTATATTACGCCCTAAGAGGCACATTTTTTAATGTTTTGTGTGTTACCTTTATTTATTAAATATCATGCTCTTTACACTTAAACCATAAAACTCAATTCAACTGCAATATAGCAAAATAAGGTACTTTTCCGTTTCGCCGGCGGAAATCTTGCCAAGCAGACTTTATTGGCAACATGGTATAGACATAAAAAAAATGTTAACAAATCTTAGTTCTAAGAATTTTTTATTTTGAAGGCATAAACATTTTAATATCATTTACAATTTTATAAAAAGCCAATAAATTTGTAAAAAGACATTAAGAATTTAGTATGCTTTCATGGTTCAACATCCTGATTTGCCGTTTCATATCAAGTGACCCCAAGTGATCTCATCTCACGTAAACTACGCTACAAAAATTAATTCTCTCAGTAATTATCTACACTAATTTCAAGTTAATTCTTAATATGGAATACAAGTTTAAATACAAGAATTATTTCAATTCGTACAAATAGCATACTTAAAAATTATGTAAATCCGCAGTGCTTTACTTCACTAGAGCATTCTCATTAGACCTGATGAATTTAACCCTTGACATTGCTTTTTCTATATTTTTGGGTGAGCGGTGTGATTGCATCCTAATTGACTTACTTACCACGAAATAATTAAAGGCATAAAATTGAGCTATCTGGTAAAATTCTATGTAATTGTATGCCATTATTGAAAGAAACAATCAATCTGATAAGAAATGGCTGAGACTTGTTTTGAGAATGAGGCAAAAAGATTACCAGTGAGGATAATTTGGCTGGCATAAGTTGTACCATTTTTGGCGACTTTATCGCCTGCAAAATGGAAAAGTACCCAAAATAATTTAAAAAGAGGATATCTTAAGAATTTCCAATATACAGCCTCACATGCTGGAGATAAAAATGTTTTTTTCCCTGCTGTACACTGTTGCTATTGCTCGCTTTGAAATCGTTGAGTTTGTTAATCCAAAACTCATAAATACTTTACAAAATATGAAATAACTAATAGAACAAATTCCAAATTTGGGCTGGCAACAATTTGAAAAGTGAACCGACATTTATGGTGAAACGCTATCAAGTGCTAAAATGAAATTAATAGCTCTTCTGGGCTAATACCCTTTTGGCTAAAAAAATATATATATATCTGATGTGTACACTACATGACTTCCTTGAACGGAATATTAAATTATACATATCATTTCTTGCATTCATTTAAATTTACTGGATCATTCATTTGCCCTTTTGCAGCTGAGGATGATGCTTTGGTAAAACTATCGAAACTAGTCCTGTGAAAATTTGAAAATATAAGGCTGATTTTTTGTTGTTTGACTTCTAAATTAATTATTGGATTGAATTAAATCTACTTCGTCGATAGCGCACAAACCACAATAGAATAAATGCACTCTTTAAAATTCACTATATTTGTTTACCACAGCGATACTCTGACGCTAGGCACTTAACAGCGTTATATTTCATTCATATTGTAACTCAGAATGCACAAAATTTACATCATTTGAAGAATTATCGAATCATTGCCACATGTTCTATTCAAATACTATAATAAATCTAGAATGATGTGTAAAAGAAATTAAGCAAATAAAACCAAAAAGAAACAGTTTTTCACAGATGATACAGTATTTCGCATTCAATTAATTCAGTTCTCCCTTTGCGACAAGGCAAAAATACACGAAAACTCAAAATATCTATATTAAAAATTTTGAAGTAAATCTTAAACACTTATTTTCTCGAAAAATTCCAGAAAGGATTAAACAATGGTGTAATTCGCAATAATAAATGAAGGCGTTAGTCTCTCTAGATTGGCAAATCTACTATTCTGCCGTTTCAAAAGTAAACAAATATGTCCGCCATGTTATATAAAAATTAGGATTAACTGCACTTAAACAGCTTTTAAATTGTCGATAATTTCACAAATGTTGCTTGCAGATTTCCAAAAAGCATAAAAACCTTAACCAGAAGATAAGAACAACATAATTCAATAATTTTTAAAGCAAAAATGCACAATTTACAAACATATTAGAGTAAAGAAACAGATTACTGACACGGGTAATAGATTGGACATATACATAAATATATTTATATAAATTTTGTGCAGCCGATTTCAACCAAAATACGAGGTGCACATCTACATGTTATGGCAGTACTATATACAAAATTTCAATAATCTGAGGCTACTCGTTTTTGAGTTATGCGAGCTACATACGTATGTACATATGTACAGACACCATGAAAAATTCTCTTCAAAATTCATTTTAAAAGCAATTTTATGATTTTTTGGAAGGAAAAGAGTCTTTTTAATTCTGTCCTTACGCACAGATGTCACTTAAAAACATCATTAAATTGCATTTACTAGTGGTCAAAATAGATATTTTTGTTGAAATATGCTGCCTGAAATTTTTCGCGATTACAAAACTGCCTTTTTACTTCGTACAAGGAAGTAAAAAACCAAATTTAAAGAGAAATCCACCCTAGTTTGCTGAGCATGCACAATGCCACTTAAATACATTTTGAGGATGTCTATTTTGGTGACATTGTGATTGCTTTGTAAAAACTTTTCAGGGAACTGTGGATAATAAAAAAGAAACACTTTTTTTTTAATCAACTGAGCAATGTACAAAATATATGTATATTGTAAGTTGACCAGTTTCTGGAAAAAATATAAGTTATATAGCTGATTATTTTAAAAGTTAAAAGAACATTAAATAAAAATTGGAATCTACCATTTTCCAGCTTATCTATTTATTATACAAAGATAACTGTTTTATAAAAATGTTGTATTTGGTTTATTATTACAGTATAACTTCAGCAGCTTAGCAAAGTCTTATTACATTACACTTTCCTTTCTTTGATTCTACAACCAAATTACTTCCTCAAGAAACAATACAATACTTTCAGGCTATCTTTAACTCAATTACAGATACAATTAATTACCTGTTAGACAAATTTGCAATAGTAAAAAGATTAATAGAATTTTGCATACACATTCTGATAAGTGGAAAAAAAGAGCGAAAATGTTACTTATGCAGTTATTTATGAACACTACATTTTTTTTTCAAATGGATTTAAAGTACTTAAAAATTTATTAAGGATTTAAAGTACTATAAATTTCTTTCCTATGATTTATTTTACAATTCTGATTTTAATACTGTACAGTTAAAAACTGAAATATTAGGAATAATATATATATATTTATATGAAAGATAAAATATGTAAACGAAAATTATAATTTAAATTATCGGCTACCCCGTTAATTCTCCCTCTCTATTCTAAAAATAGTAATGACTCCTCTGGATTGCGTCATTTCTAGATTAATCTATGCCACAAAGCTGATGTAACGCTGATGACGTAGTAATTTCGGAACCTAAACTCTAAGAAACCTTAAACCAAATCTTTCTCTTAACATACTTCCATATTGGATAAATGCACAGTTAGCTTACAGCTTCTGTTGCCACTTGGAATACCATTTTGCTATGCATTGTGGTGCTGCTAACTATGCTGTTATTTAAAATGCGATACTCTATATAAAATCGTGGTGTGTATATCGTGCTCATGATCATACGCAATGAGAAAGATGGTCTTGATAATTAGTTTGTGTCCAGCAGTAAAGATCATATCCAGTTTGACTATGTTTGTCTACAAATCTCTCCTTTGGGCGTCATTTTTCTAATTATGCAACAAGTCTCTCCAAGTTTTTATCACACATATATACATAGACAGAGAGAGAAAAGACAAAGTATATTCTTAGAGAATAAAATTGGAAGGTATTTAACTATTAAAGCTGTTTAAAATTCATATTTTTTCTTAATTACATACTATCACACACACACATATAAAAAAAAACTCACCTTTTGTTGTTGCTGAATATCGCAATGCTCTTTGAGTCTTGAGATACTTTGCTTTTTATAATTTAAGTCCTGCTCTAATTCATCAATTTTTTCTTTCTGGTGACAAATAAGTGAACTCTTCTCCTTAATTTCTGCTTGTAAATGTTCATTCTGATTCTTGAAGTTTCGTAGATTGTCTTTAGTTTTCTTTAGTTCTTCCTCCAACAACTGGTTTTTTGACCTATAATCCCTTATAGTACTCTCCAGTTTATGATTTTTTTCGTGAAGTTCCTACAAACAGAATTATTAATAAGCCAGAAGCTGAAGAATATTAAATTTTTATAATAATTAATGTTATTTGAAAACTAAATGAAAAAAATAATTTATAAGCAATATGCATAAAAATCACTGAAAAATAAAACAAACTGCATAATTTTTTAAACAAGATAATCCTTTCCAGGATTTAAATTTTATACATGAAATAAAAGTGCTTTACATAAAGGCCAAGTATTAGAAAAGCTTATCTACCAAAATGTTAAAAAAAATGGCTAGCTTTGATCAGCAGAAAATGAGTCAGTCCGTCAAAATGAGTCAACACAATATTGCCAACAGATTGAAAAGTTTTATCACACCTAGCATATTCTCCTAACATTGCACCAAAGATGGATTACCATTTGTTGAGATCTATAACACAGCAGCACAAAAATGACATTCATCTGCAGTCAGATTTTTACCACAATTAACATATTAAACAATATTGAAAATTTATCAATTAGGCAATAAAAATTCATGGGTAGTGACTGGATTTATGTACATGATCAGACATATTTAAATAAATAAATAATTAATAAAAAAAAAAAAAAAAAAAAAAGCAGAGTTACATATACATGCTTAACTGTATCAAAATTTACTAATGGCTTAATGTGTCCCTTTATATCAAGTAAGGTCTATCTTCTTAATGTTTCTAATTCTTTTCAAATAAATAAGAATTTATGAATTGGGCAATCAAGGTACTCAATGGTATTCTCAATGTTTTTCTGATTATACTAGGTTGCCTAGCAACTGCCCATTTGCTATAGCACAATCGTATGCAAGGTAAAAACTAGTGAACTTTTCAAGTATATAATGTACCATTTTCCCCATCACGTCTCCAAAAAAGCTGTTGTCTTATGATTGAAGAAAATGGAGTACAAGCCAAATACAAATATATGCTTTGAAAATGTAACTTGATAACTATAAAAATATTTCAATCGTATAAAGATAAAAGATTAAAATAAAAACCTTGTTTAAAGTTTCAAGGTATGAAATTTTAGTTTCAAGCTGCTGAATCTGTTTTCGCAGAGCATGTTCTTTCTCTTTTATCTCCTTCTCAAATCTTTTTTCTTCCTCTCTCAATTTCTAAAAAATTAAAATTCAAATAGAAATTAATTAATTTCAAACACATTAAAATTTTGCGATTAAAATAATTCCACAGTCTAGACACAGAAAAAATATGAACTGGTTTACCACAACTGCAAAGATTAAATACGCTTTTATTAAAAAAAGTGGATTTTTTATATACAGAATTATAACTCATTTCACTTCAACACCAACATGTAAAAGGACTTAAAAGATTCCAGGATGCTTAAACTGTTTCTCTTTATATTTTAATTCTTGATCACAGTAAACATTTAAACTATATTATTTTTCCAAAAATGGGAGAAATCTTTTGATAGCAAATAAAACAAATTGGTAAAATGACAAAATATATTTCAATGCATTAACGTGTTTCTGGCCATACAAAAGCACTGCAAAAAATAGTATAGTACAAATAGTACTAGTCTAAGTTTAGTACAAAGTTTTAGAATCGTCGGGGCTTCAGTGATTCCAGATTTTAAATTATCCATTAAATCTCATCTATAAGTCTGTAGAAATTTTAAAAAATAAAAATTTGAAATAGTTATTTATGAAAAAAATGAAGCATTTATGACCTTTAGAAAATCAAACTTAACAAACCAAAAAAAAAAAAAAAAAAAAAAAAGGGGGGGGGAGATAGAGAGAAGCCTAATATTTATTTGCTTCCTTTATTATACATTTCTTTCAATGCAAGTTGTTTAAGTTGCCTCGCTCTTTTGTGCTAATACTTTATCTTTAATTCTACAGATAGACATAATTTCTCTCTCAGTTGCAAAGTTCCATTTTCATCTCTTGTAACTGCCGTGTCAAGCATTCCCACTAAATTGTCCAGCGAAATCTTTTTGTTCTCAGTAACCATTCTTCGTTTTCTTTACTGTTGACAGCAATATTTTCTGAATTTGAAACTGTACTACAAATTTTCAAATTTGTCATTCATTAGTTGATTCATTATTGGGGCATTGTTACTGCAATTACTGAGTTCTGTTACAACATCTTCCTTTAATGCAGTTCTTCAGATTTCCTTACAATTTCCATTAACTAGAAAATTTCTCTTTTTGTTTGTAGTATCTGAAAACCTTCAAATTTGTGGCTTAACAAGCATCCACTATACACTATTGGCAATTGGCAGCTAAAGATATGTTGCTGCACTAAATTTTATGTTGTTTCTGTCATGCGCTGAGGACGTTAAGCCTGTATTATGTTACTTTTGTTATTTGTTACACTTATGTTGATTTCCTGCACATACCTAAGGCTTATCTGAGTTCTGATGAAATAAATTCCCACATATACTGTAAGATGGTACTTTTTAGTTATGCACTTGCCATACATTTTTGCAAGTTTTTAATTGCAAACAATTTCTAGAATAGTTTACAGATGGCAAACACGCATATACATGGCACGATAGTGGCGTCCAATATATCATTACCTGCTATGAACCAAAAAGCATGATAGTTACATAACCACCATTAAAGTAAAAAGAAACTAAATCAGTTCTTATACTAAAACAATTTTTAACTTAAAATTCTGAAATTTTTAGGATAACTACAACAAAACTTACCTTTAGCAAAACTTTAAATACTAATAAATCAGACCGTTATTAATATTTAATAACTTTAAATGTGAAATATGAGATACTCTTTTTGCCTGAATACTAGAGTAATCAGAAATTTCTAATTTAAATAAAATGACGAAAGATTGTTTATAATTTTCTGTCCATTACATACCTCTGTCCACAATGTACAAGTGTGCTTGTTATTTTTATCACACTTTTTCTAATAAATTAAAATAAGATTTTTGTTTGCAAAATCATTCATATACCCCCAACTATTAAGTGAAGGATCCACAGGCGTCCATGGACCACAGTTTAAAATTTGCAGTTGTATTTAATAGAAAAAATAAAGGAGAAAAAAAATCTGGGTGGCATCAGCTGATCAATGCTTAACAACATTTTTACTTGAAACATACAGTTCAGATAAGTTTTTGGTTAATTTCAAGAGTTGATTTATTTTGTTACCTTTGTTGCTCATTCTAGCACAAAATGTGCATAATGTTATAAAGTAAAACAACACAATAACTGATCCACTGTTATTCATTTATTAATTAATTTCATTTACTCTTATCATTCAAGTCAGCAAATCTATACACTAGTTAAAAGTTGCATTTATTCTCTATTTTTTTTATTCTTCCAGTCTCATTCCCAAGCCATTCATACTGTAGCAAATGCCATGCATTAAATTATTAATTTATTAGAGAATTGAGGAGTTACTAGTTTAATAATGATCAGCTTAATAGCTGATAAAAATTGCTTTAAAATATTCTATTTTAAAAAGGCAAGTGATGCACAAAGAAAGTAACATAAATAGTAGAGCATAATCAAACATTTCTATTTCTGAAAATAATTTACAAGTTGTAAAAAAACCAGTTTTAAACAAAGATTCATTAAGCTTGGGAATTATGGTAGACTTACTAGATTAAGAATTATTGCACCAATAATTAAACATATACCAGAGGTGATGAATTCAATAGTGCTGCATCTTTCTGCAGGTTGACCGCTGTTCAAAATGACAGAAATCTTCATTATGACAAGGGGGGCCTTTGGAAGCATGCACAAACCAAAGATAATTTTCTTGTTTAAAACACCCTTATGCCAAACGAGCATTTTTCACAAAAGTATGTGCACCATTTTACAAGCCCGAGTTTCAATTCAGTTACTAATTAGTTAATTAAGCAGGAGATGAAAAAAATCTTTGAGACCTTTGGGGAACACAGGAATTTGTCATAAAGGTGTGAGCGCCCTTATGAAAAATGATGGATTGAGATAATGGTACCCAACTTTTCATCAATTAGAACAATTTTTCAGGTTGTACTTTTATGAAAGAATTCAGATATTTCAATAACTTGGACTTTATTTTCACCAAAATGACAAATTGCTATGCACAAAAGAGAGGTTAAAGATATAAATATGTAAGATATAAAAAAATATGATAGCTGCTTTAAAAATACAGCCATCCCTCAGCTATTGTGGTTAAAAGAGACCAGAACCAGCTGCGATAAGTGAAAAACCATGAAGTAGTGTCACCCTCTCATTTTTAACATACGAGGGCTATCCAGAAAGTAGATTACGTTTTGGAATAAAAAAATAAACAATGTATAGGAAACAAATTTTATTATATACAGATGAAAGCCACACTCAAATACTACTTTTCTACATAGTCACCATACAAATTAAGGCATTTATCGTAGCGATGTACGAGCTTGGAAATTCCTTCGTCGAAAAATTCGGCCGCCTGCGCCTTCAACCACTTCGTTACCTCTTCTTGCAGCTGTGCGTCGTCATCAAAACGCTGCATAGCCAGCCACTTCTTCATTGCTGGGAATAGGTGGAAGTCGCTCGGTGCCAGGTCGGGACTGTACGGCGGATGAGGAAACAACTCCCACTTAAAAGATTCAAGAACTTTACGAGTGACATTTGCCGTGTGGGGCCGGGCGTTGTCGTGAATCAACAAGATCTTAGAGCTCAACATTCCTCTGCGCTTGTTTTGAATTGCTCTTCTGAGTTTTTGGAGAGAGTGGCAATACCTTTGAGAGTTTATTGTAGTGCCTCTTTCCAGGAAGTCCACCAAAATTACACCTTTTCTGTCCCAAAAAACAGTCGCCATCATCTTCCTTGCCGACATTGTTTGCATGCATTTCTTGGGTTTTTGGGGAGAACTTGTGTGCCCCCACTGCATTGATTGCAATTTCGTTTCACAGTTCACATGTTTCACCCATGTTTCGTCACCAGTAACGATGCGATCGAGTAAAGAGTCACCATCCTTATGGTAAGCGTCCAAAAAGTTCAACGCTGCAGCCATTCGCTGATTTTTGTGGTCCTCTGTCAAGATTTTTGGAATCCATCTTGCACAAAACTTGTGGTAACCAAGCTTTTCGCTGATGATTTCGTGCAACAAACTTCGCGAAATTTGTGGAAAACTCAAAGAAAGTTCCGTTATTGTGAAATTTCGATTTTCACGGACTTTAGCATCGACTTTTTCGAGAAGTTCGGCGGTCACTATGCTGGGTCTCCCACTTCGATCTTCGTCGTGAACATTGGTTCGGCCATTTTGAAATCTTATGACCCACTGACGCACTCCACCTTCAGTGATAATGTTGTCCCCATACACTTCACGAAGCTGCCGATAGATTTCTATCGGTTTACAGTTTTTTGCAGTCAGAAACCTTATTACTGAGCGCACCTCGCAGCTCGCGGGATTTTCAATTAACGCAGACATTTCAAACCGTCACAGTATCTGAACGGAGCACAGCACGAACCTCTCACTAGCACGGCTAGATGCAGACTGAGCTGCGCAACGCTCTGACCCCAAGATGGCCGCGCTAGCCCCGCCCCTAGCGGACACAGACGGAAACGTAATCTACTTCCTGGATGGCCCTCGTACGCATTTTTGGTATTATATATCAATAGTGTATGAAACAATCTGCATAGTGATCATTAAAGAATAGTTTCAAACATGTAAATAAAATAAAATATTAATAGTATAAATAACATACATAAAATAACGTATAAATAATATGATACGTGTGTGTAACATACGTAGATGTAACTAAAGTGTACATACTGCAAATATGTTTTTAGAACTCTTTTATTCTTATAACAAGGTACGTAACTAACTCACCTCTTACAATAGCTTGTCTTCGCTCGATCTTTATAAATGTCAATGAAACACCTGTGCAGTACGATGGGGGTGAAGATGATTTAATGCACAGGTTAATGAGAGCTTTACTGCTCCTCAAATGACGCCTCATCGTCAGGTGCTAGGAGATCTGGATCATAGCGGGCAGCTTCGGATAGAGCTGGGGTAGCTGCAGGAGGCGGTGTACAGGCAACAGGAGGAGCCTCTGCAAAACATTTTTGGTGCACAAGGAACATCGTGATGGGGAGTTGTGAACATTGTTTTTTCTTCTGAGCAAAGATGCCCTTGTACACTGCGCAAAAAAAAAAAAGA